ACCATGCCTCATAGACAACACTTCAACTACGGGATGGATGTTTCTTTCAACTTTTTATGCCTCCCTGTAAGTGCTGGCACTTTACTGAGCCACGGTTATCTGTTATGGCCGATGAGAAATTGAACTTAATCAGGTCATGTTGGAGGGATCACAGCAAGACTGAGGCTGTGATAAGTTTATTGCAAGCAATCAGACTTTTTATACCCTACAGAATCAAAATACAATAGATGTTGTCAGGATCAATACAATGGTAGTTGCCAGGATACAATGATATACGCAAGCTATACAGGGTACACAAGAATAATGTTTAAGGCTAGTTGTCCAGCACTGGTTCTGTATACTTTGATGACTTCTAGAAAACACAGAGAAACACAGGCAGCCTGAATGCTTCACTGCATGAGAGAGTGCCTCAGTTTCTTAGGAACTGAAATGAAGTGCACACAGTGACCCAGGAGCCATGGACTCTAATCTCAAAAAACAATGACACATGCCTCTCAAGGGTACTAGACAAGGCTTCCATGATTCTCTACACATATTTCAAAAATTTGCTCACAGACTTCTTGTTCATAATGCCATAAGATTTAGAAATTTAATAGTAAGTGTGTCCTTTTCACTACATCTCTTCATTATAGGTACATAACGCATCACATACAAACTTCTGTCATGGAAAACAACAGTGTTTCAGTTCCTCACTAATCATGTAACTGCATACAATCAATGTGTTAACTTCTCATCCACAGACTGAAAATTTCCCTATAGTACATATTCATATGTCAAGTATCCTACAATGGGAATAGACAATGCTGGCATAGAAAAGAGAATATATTCATTCATGACAAAATCTTAGCATATAAAAGGTTCTGTCATGAAATGAAAAACACAGAAACCGTCTTCTAGGCACAATGGGACTGACAAGCAAATGAGCTCACAGAGTCTGTGGCTGGACACACAAAATGTGCACAGGTTCAAGCTACACTGAGCAGAGCAAGTGGACACATGTTCCCATCCCTAACCTAGAAGCTATCTGTAATTTATACCCACCATCAAAGGCAAAATCTGTTCTCTCTAATGGAGTGTCACTGAGTATATTAACATCCTGTATCCAACTGTAGTTGGCTAACACAAAATTCAAACTCCAGGGTTTTTTTTTTTTTTTTTTTTTTTGGTTTTTCAAGACAGGGTTTCTCTGTGTAGCTTTGCGCCTTTCCTGGAACTCACTTGGTAGCCCAGGCTGGCCTCGAACTCACAGAGATCCACCTGCCTCTGCCTCCCGAGTGCTGGGATTAAAGGCGTGCGCCACCAACGCCCGGCCCCAGGGTTTTTTTTTTTTTTTTTAATGCATGTTGGGGGAACTTTGTGTTTTGTGTTTTTGTCTTACTTGTTTTTGTTTGTTTAGATATTAGTTGTGTGATATATTTTTAAAGACAGAAAGAGAAGAGAAAACATAAATTTGGGTAGATCAGGTAGAGGGGAGGATCCAGGATGAGTTGGGGGAAGGGAAAAGCAGGATCAAAATATCTTGCATGAAATAAAAAAAATACTGTTGTAAATGTTAACAAAAATATTATTTTAAGAATGAATATTTTTAAATATATAAAAATATAATTAAAAAAGAACAATAGACAGCTAATGACTACTGAAAAAGGGAGAATTAGTCTCTTCCATGGTCAAATGCTCTAATTGGTTATGCAACACAATGTAATCACACACTCTACATAGCCTGACCTTCCACATCCTTCTCCAGGCTCTAGCCCAGTGAATTTCCCATGACCTCCCATCCAGACTTTCATGTCCACACCTTCTCAGTCATGCTCATTGCTACTCTACTCACAATAGCTAGGAAATGGAAACAGCTTTAATGCCCTTCAAATGATGAATGGAAAATGAAAATGTGGCACATATACATATAAGGAACATGAAACTACTCAGCAGGTTGTATTTATCCTTTTCTGTGTGGGGTGTGGGATGACAATATAATTTTAAAGAGAGGCTATCAGTTAGAGAAGAAATGGAGAGGGCTGGGATAATTAGGAGAGTGGAGTCATTAGAGGGGACCAAGGAAGGAAAAAGAAGGATGAAGTGATGTAATTTATATTTTAATTAATATATAACATGCAGTTTAAAAAAAATCAGAGTGTGTGCAGTGGTTAAAGTGTTTCTTGCTCTTCATTAGAATTAAAGTTCAGTTTCTAGAACCCACATCAAGTGGTTACAAGTGCCTGTTATTCCAGCTCCAGGGAATCTGACATCTTATCTAAGCCACCTCAAGCAACTGCACACCCATAACATATGGAAACACACACACACACACACACATACACACACACACACACACAATGAGAGAGATTTTAGATTCTATAAAAATAAAATTTAAAATAGTTAGAAATTAAACATCTATTCAGTGAAGATGAACATTTGAATATATAAGAAAAAGATCACACAATTTGGATGTGAAAGTCAGAAGAAAGAATGTGAAAACTAGTGCATTATTTTACACAGAAATCCCTACACACTAAGCATAGAAATTCTGTAGAGAGCATGAGCAGCAGAGAGAATCAAGTGGAAGAACATCAGAGCTTGAAATCAAGGTGGGAGTATTACTACAGTTAGACACTAACAAATTAAAAGTAATAAACACATCTCTCAAGACCTCTGGGATGTTGCTATTCAGAGATTGTACTTGTTAGTTTTCTGTTTCTGTGATAAAACACCATGGCCAGACACATCGTATGGAAGGAAGAGCGTTATTTGGGCTTCCGGTTCCAGCAGCTAAGTGTCTGTCATCGTGGAGAGACTTAGCAGCCAGTGATAGGCACAGCAGCAAGAAAAGGAACATCAGAGAGTGTATCTCAGTCACAGGCAGGAGTCAGAGAGCAAACATGGTGGGCAGAGACTGTAAACAGTCAAGACCTGTCTCTAGGAACAGATGTCCTCTATCAAGGCTCCATCCCCCAAACTTACTACAACATCCCCAAAGCACCACTGCCTGGGGCCAAGTGTTCAAATATCTGAACCTGTGTGGGACATTCTCACTAAAAGCACTGCAGAGACCAAATGTAACGATCTGACACTGGAGCTATTGTGGAGATACTCAGGGCACAGAAAACATGTTCTATGAAGTATTAGCAGAAAGTGCCCCCACTTCAAGGGAAATAGGTGGACACAGCAGCGCAGAAAACATTTAGAACCACAACAGCTGTGGCGGGAAATATACCTCTCCTTGTCATGTTATAATGATGTTAGTTTTAAAAAAATGTTTCACATTATTTCTTGAGACAGGTTCTCACTGTCACCTCTGGCTCACTGGATAGATCAGGTTGACCTCAGACTCACAGAGATCCATGTATCTTTGCCTCCTGCCAAGTGTTGGGATTAAAGGAACGTGCCACCACTTCTGGGCTCACAAAAAGTGTAACTTTTAAAGCTTTTTACTCCATTGAAACTTCCAAGAACACAGAACCAAAAGCACCTAGAGAGAAGCTTCCAGAGAGAAGCTCCTGTAGCTTGATTTTTCCGCCTCGCCCACAGTCAGGACAAACCTCTGTCACCCGCCAGTCCCACAGCCGCTCAGACCCAACCAAATAAACACAGACACTTATATTGCTTGCAAACTGCATGGCCGTGGCAGGCTTCCTGCTAACTGTCCTTATCTTGCTAACTGTGCTTTTATCTTAAATTGATCCATTTCCATACATCT